ATTAAATGGGAAGTACATGACATTAGGATGGTCCAGTTGAATGAGGAAACAGATAAAAATCCTCAATAACCTAATTTTGTAATATAATGACGCCGATTTCGCAAAGTTCCAATTTTATGTAACCAGGTAAACAAAACCGAACTGGAAAGTAAGGGCCAAGATATGTCCTGCTAAAATTTAACCAGCATCATAAACTAGCAAAGGAATCCACCCCCCTATAAAATTCCTAAAGTAGATAAACCCTCGGGTCCATGGTGAATGAGTGAGTGAGTAAGTATTGCTTACCACAGCATGAGCAATGTTGCAGCTATTCCTGGCGTGAAATGCAATACATTTAAATTCATGTTAACAGACACAATGAAAATGGTATGAAATGTTAAAATCTGAGTCAAATATCTCTCTGTTGCAATACAAACTATACTGTAAGCCATTAAAAACGCAATTTGACATTTATACTTTCTTAACTCACACTAATTTCAACATATATAAACCTAACTGGCAGATATGTTTTAAGGGAACATCTGTGAATAATTTCATCTGAAAATGTCCAGTCAACAACAACATCAGTGACGCAACAACGACATCAAACAAAGGAGGGGTCACTTGCAGTCAATATCGTGTGTGTCCACCGTGCGCTGCAAGACATGCTTGCAGTCTTTGGGGCATTGAAAGACACACATTTCTCAGGAACAGCTGTTGGATGGTCTGCAGCCTCTGATGGTCTGTGGTCTGATCATGACACCACCCTCTCCAAAACGATCATGTTCAAGGACACAGTTTGGCGCAAGTCTTTCTCCTTTACGTCGATAAATCTGTTGACGTCCATCTGCAAAGGATAAGTTAAACCTGGATTCATCTGAAAAAATGACATCTGGCCATGTCCTGTTGCCAAGATTGGCCCCATTTACTGCCCATCGCTGTCTGGCAAGTCTGTGACGATGCAATAAGGTTGGACCACGGTACTGGTGACGACACCGGATGTTGAAGGCAGCAAGGCGTCCTTGCACCTTTTGGGCGCTGAAATGACGTTGACTTGTCCCAAGTGTCCTCCTTGCCTAATCATCAGGTGTTTGGAACCGATTTCGCAAGTGTGAAACTCGGATATTACGGTTTTGTCGAGCTGTTATCACAGGTGGTGCACCAGGTCGCGGACGATCAGCAACACTTCCGGTAGCCCGAAAACGTTGTCTGAGTCGACTTACAGTGGATCGATGCACATCAAAGTGCCTGGGCTGAACATCTGAAGCACTTTGGCTGACCATACCGATAACCTGATTCCTTTCTTCTTGTGTCAAGTGTGGCATTTTCTCAAAGTGATTGAGTTCCACAATTCCTTGTGCTTTTACAGGGCCTGGGTGCAGGTAATGCATGTGTACAACGTGTTTCATGAATGTGGTTGTGTTTACGAGAAATGTCAAAGGTTCAGTTTTAAGTATCAAAGTTCATGTGAGAGGAATGCTCCGGGACTCGAACTCGAAATGGGCCAGAATAACAGCCCTTTATCCCTACATCCTCTGTATCGCAGGAAAAAATCTTCAATAGAACTTTTGTATGTTTCAGGACAACAAATACCAATTGCGTTTTAATGGCTTACAGTATATATCTACAATTTGATTTCTTATAGAAATACAAAAGTCAGGTGCTTAGAAGCTATTTTACAAACTTCAGATGAAGTAAGAATTTTGTCATGAAAACTTTGTCTGATAATCAACACACTCAAGCAAAATGTAACATTGGACTGTTGCAATGGATGCAAAAAAGGAGGATCTTCATTTTCAGAACTTTTTGTGAGATAGACCCGAAGTTGGCTGGCCTCCAAATCATTGGCTTGAAGGTATGAAGCTTATTGGAGACCTTGGAAACCCAACTTTTGTGCCAATTATCGTTTATGGATAGTTGGATACACAGTGCCCTTTACATAATTTCTAATAGAGGATCGGACATCGGAATACGAGAAGTTTGTGCCTGAAGTAGACTTACCCTGTACATATTTTGCAGTTTGCACTTCTGCCAACATGGCTGGACAGAAAACAAAATATACCTTCTGCAACTAACGACATAGTACAGTTGTTGATAAGAGCCGCAGCTGATACATTCGCGCCATCCTTTGATCCACCTGTGCAAATACTTATATATGAGAGGGATATTGGTTCTTTAAAGGCGAGATGTTTGAAATTTTATTACTAGTTTTAAAATTTATATCTGTGATAAACTAGTTGTTTTACTGTCCTTCATTGACACTGCTTGTATAATTTACCTATAATGGGTTTTAATGCATAACTTGATATAGTCACGATATGGCTAAAATACTGCCGATGTGACTTAAAATCTTAACTCACTCACTTTAGAGGCGAGAATATGTGGATGGCAACATCTTTATTTGAGGAACAATTGTATACGCCTTCATCAGGTGACTGAAAAAACTAAGATAGCAATATAAGTACATGCGAAACAACACCAGCTGACATCGCTGATATCCCTCGGCCTGCAGCAGCATCCAGAATCCTGACAGATGCCGTCTTATCTTCCTTAAAGGAGTCAGATACACTTTCGGCCATGTGTATAGGGTCCCTGTAAGCTCTGATTGTCCACGCCTTTAATTGTAACGCATTTCTGCTGTGTTGTTAAACGTTAAACGTAGTCTCCAAGGTACATGAATATATAGTGTGTCATATGACTTATGCGAAACTAGAGTGAAATTTTGTATTGCCCGAGCGAGGGCGAGGGCAGTGCATAATTTTGCACTAGTTTCGTACAAGTCGTATGATACACTTGTTCGAGTGTAATAGATATTTATTATCCATTTTAATCATGTACATTTGTGCGGTAAAACACGGTAAGCCATTGTGACGGCCCTCTTCATTGACGTCACGTTCAACTGTTTAATGACGTCACACACGACGAAATGCAGAAACAATGGTTGCTAGGCAAAAGTGATATGTGCACATATGACAGTGACTATGTTTCACCAAATGGGTAATAAAGTGTATGATTAATGATATCTGGACCAGATATCAGATGGATATCATAAGCACTGTGTTACGCCTTCCAGCTACGGTGATCACTGTCGAGCCTTTGTTACGTGTCATACTGGCGTGACGAATGCACGCAATTTCAGTTTCACGTCAACAGTTTGACATCAGTGTTTACATGATGAAACTAACCGTGAAGATCCGGGTTAGAATTGGTACTCAGCAACCCATGCTTGTCGTAAGATGACAACTGACCGGATCAGGTGGTCAGGCACACTGACTAGGTTGGCACATGTCATCGTATCCCAATTGCGAGATCGATGCTCATGATGTTGATCACTGGACTGTCTTAATGTTTAGTTGTTATTGGTCACAAAAAGTTAAAGCGCTTAATGTGGACCCACTCCTTGAACTTAGGTTATGTATTTTTACATCAGAGCTTGGGAGTTGCCTCCCCTTTGTTTTTTTTTGTTCCGGTGTTTTCGTTGGAAGACGTTGGGATTTCAGTAATTTCTAAATGCTATTGGTGTGGCGTGGCTTTTGCTAGAAGTCTCTGGAACTGTATATTAATAAATACTGGTGGAAGATACTGGATAGCAACGAGGACCGTTATATTAAAGTTGTTATAATGCTTTATTAGAGCTGTCTAAATCTCATCCTGATAGAGTAAGCTGGGTGACTTTACTTAGGGATACCCTGAAAAAGTATGGATTTGGATATCTGTGGAATGCCCGGGTAGTTGTCAACAAAGTAGGATTTCTTAGATCATTTAGTCTCAAAATTAGGAATATATATGAGCAAATGTGGAGACATAATTTAGCCTCATTAAGTGACACAAGGTTGTACTTGCATACTACGCAAAGTCTATGTTTTGAAAGATACTTGGTAGATATTGATATTGTTAAATATAGAACTGCATTAAGTAAATTCATACTTAGTTCTCACAATTTAATGGTTGAAAATGGTAGATGGTTTACTCCCAAATTACAATTCTGTGAAAGATTATGTCCATTTTGCTGTAAGGACATTGAAGATGAATACCATGTTGTGATGGTTTGTCCTACATATGAACTTTATAGAAAAAGAAATATATCAAGGTCAGTTTACAAATATCAAAGTCTGGCTAAATTTGTTGAGCTGTTGCAAGACGAACGTACTGGAGTTATACTTAATTTGTCAAAGTTTGTGTATCATACACTTAAGGAGAAAGCAACAGTTGAATTTGTTTGAATCTCTATGTATCTTACGGGTCTGCCACCATGAGGGGTTGGGAGTGGGCGGGGTGAGAAATGTAACGCACATGTGCACATGTTAAATTATTATTGAATGTAAAGGCGATTGACCTTTGGTCTAAATAAACATTCATGTCATGTCATGCAAGGGAAGTCTGTCTTCCACATGCACTAAGCTGTTGTGTTTGGGCGTTTGAATAAAACATGGTGTTGGTGTGTTTCAGCACCCTTGTGTTTCGCTGTTTTTGACAATGTTTCATTTCACTTAAACTCAACGAATATTGAATCAATGTCTTCACTGCATGTTCCAACATGTCGTGTAAAGTGCACATTAAGAACGCACGAAGTTGCATTTACCTTAGAGTATAAATGATATCGAGCTCACCACGTTTCAGTTCATAAATGACTACCAAACTTTAGGGTTTTCCCATACTTTTTGTTTGCAGTATATATGTTAGTAATATGTCATTCATTTGTATATGGGCCTGTGGCCGTTCGTGCAATAATGAAATGATTTGAAAAGAATATTCACTTTAGAATATTAAACGTATTTTAGATTTGCGAATGAATGTGAGCATAATGTAAATTGGATGTATGCAAGAAAGTTGCCAAAGGCGATGCAGCGACAAAACCAACAAGACAATACATATGCGTATTACTATATATCAACGGGAATATAACATATACTATAAAATAATGAAACACCGGATCCCAAGTTAACTATCAAGGAACCTGAACGAGTAAAGTAATATTTAACGCCACATCGGTAATATTTTACCATATCGTGACGAGAATTAGAATACAAATACTAAATATATTTAGAATCAGAAGCCTGTCATCGATGGACAGTAGAATAACTGTATTATCAGAGCTATAACTTAAAACTGATTGATAGCATTTAATTGTTTTTGTAAAAGTATTATCAATCAACACCACATTATAAATGGACCCCAAACCCGATGTTAGATCAACAAACTAGGAACCATGGTTACTAAATAAGAAAAGCTGAAACAAATGAGCAACAGAAACCTGGCAAACTGTGATTTACATTCCATGGCTACATACAGGGAACCTAACAGGGACAATCGCACAGTATCTGTCCCCAGCATAAGCTTGGTACTCACAAAGTAGCAACTAACAACGAGAAGCAGGGGTAGTTGAAGAGTGACAGCAAAGCATTTAACAAAGACTGGACACATATTGTTGCATCAATAATTGGATTAACATTACAAGGGCCACTACCACAGCTGGTAGGATTCTTAAAAAGTGTATTTCTTAATAGCACTGGTTTCATCAGTGAAAGAACGTCAGTGTGTGTGACAAAGCTTTTCTATGTATTGTTTTCCATCGATATCAGATGCACGAACTATATATCTGAAGACAAGTCCTGGATTTGCACCGTCATAAAAATCATCGAAGTGTTTCTTGTCCAACAGTTGCCACGCCCCATCCTGTTCCATCCATTGCATCAGAGGTTCCAGCCTGTTGATGTATTCCTTTACCGTCGTGAATCGAGCGTCGGGGATTCCGAAACACATCACACCTCCTGCAACGGACAACAACGATCTTCAAATCAGTATATGTTTCTGTAGTCATTTTCTATAGGGCAATGCTATTTACATAATATCTGAGTAATGTAATTGATGAAATTGTCATATGATGAGGTCCAACTCCATCAGCAATTATTTTCCCTAATGCTTAGCCCTCTCTGCAGTGCTAAAGCCCTAAATGAAGCAAGTGTAGGTTCCCCAGGTTACTTAATCTCCCAACTCTCTATGGCTCCTTTTCAATTTAAATCCGTTTTTTTGTTACTATCAAAATTATATATATTCAGGGAGTCAGCGTTAGTCTAGTCGACACCCAGTGTTTCTGGTTGTCCTCATCAATGATATTTAAACAGAATGTAAACTTCGTCAACTGTTTTTTCGAAACAAGGTGATTCTTCTACATTGTACTTTCCATCGATATGGCTGAAACATTGCTGATGTCACTCCCTCACTCTACTTCTCACTGATTTATGAGTTAGTGAGTGAGTTTTGTTTTACTCAGCACTCAGCAATATTCCAGCTATATGGCGTCGGTCTGTAAATAATCGCGTCTGGACCAGACAATCAAGTGATAAACGGTATGAACATCGATCTACGCAATTGGCAGAGGATGACATGTGTCAACCAAGCTTGATCACCCCATCCCGTTAGTCTACACTTTCGACAAGCTTGGGTTGCCGAGGACCAATTCTAATCCGGGTCTTTACGGGTTATAAAATGTTTAAAGTCTTGAAGGCCATGTGCTCGTTTGTGTTTGGATCGAAAGTTGACGTCCAGGACAAACTGAGCTTAGACGTGACTGTATCTACATCTTGTAATAAATATATAACTTCATCAGATCATATCAGAAAATGCATGGCCATACTGGGTATCATAAAGGTTCCTGGTACAAATTCGTACGAATCAAAAATAAAACCACAATACCCGGCTTCACAAGTCGCACCATCTCCGGTAAGGCAGCAGAAGGCAATAAACCTGTGTTGAAACCAGCAGCTACCACCAGACAATCGTATGTGTCTGTAATGGGTTGAAATAATTACTGATAATATATGATAAGTTCATAAATACGTATGCATTGATCAAATACAACAGTTACCACCAACTGTAGTGCGTACATGGTACATTATTCCCAATTTGCGCATAATCGTCAATTCTACAGATGATTGGTTTGCCAGGTATTTTGTATTAAAGTTAATCAAAAACATCTCAAAATAGATTTATTTTGACATATGACCTGTGTCCAGTTCGGTAATGGTGTGTCCATCCATGAACTCCAGGTAGTAATTAGTGTATACGCCTTTCTTCATTGCTTCAGCCATCATACCAGGCGATGGATCAAGACCGTCTAGTTGCCTAAATCCTTTTTTCCACAACTGAAACATAACAAATAACTTTAACTGTTTCCGTCAATCCTCATTCATCATATCCTATCTCATAAAATATGTCACCAGATCCATCAACCACAATGTAATTGCTCAGTCGCCAAACTTCAACAGACCCCTTGCCATAAGAGCTGTGATTGTCTGGTCTTATCGTACACGTTACACCCCTGTTTAGTAAGAACCATGACCTGCTTGGTCTGAACCAGACTAATCTCAATCACAGAACTCAATTCCCCATGACCAGTCCCGAATATGAATCATTAGTTTTCTCCACAGTGGGCGCACCTGTTCAGCTAACATCCCTGTGCCAGCAGCAACATCCAGAATCTTCACAGATGCCCGCTTATCTTCCTGAAAGTAGTCCGCTACACCCTCGGCTACGTGTAAGTGGTCCTTGTATTTTCTGATCGTCCACACCTGTAAATGTACGCAACAACCACCTGTCATACTCATTGATTATACTATTGATGTGTCCGTTGTGTTGTTTAAAGTCAAACTCTCATTTCAAGCTATATGACAAAAACTGCAGGTGAATGTTTGCAATAACTTTATTCTACATAAACATATTACACTGAAACGTTTAAATTATAATAGCAAAATATTTAATGTGAATTTTTTTTAGAAAATGTGAAAAAGGGTAAATACGTTTAGCCGAAACTTGAGCAGCCGAAGCCAAACTTGCAATCAGGGTATGATAATGATACGAACGGCATATCAGATACTCGGATAAAAACAGTACTCCAATGAAAGTACATTAAGCATCTCCGGACAAGACAGTGACATCATGACCAAGAAATACCTTGGGGATTAGTCATCAGACAGTGTCACGGGATTCCCAACTTACAGACCTCAGTTAGGACAGCAGTTTTAAATTTCTAAAAGTGATAATCCAGTTATTTTACTGTCCTTCGTCGACAGCTTTTAATCATATAATTGAGCGTACTGTTAATTTAATATGGCTGAAATATTGCCGATGTGACTATATATCATGATCATTGGCGGGGTTGTGGCCAGGAGTTTACACCACAGGTAATTATTTGATGGCATTTGACTTTCCTTGTCTATCAGTCTAAAACAGCAGCCGTACGGTGTCCTTTATGAGTAAGTCGAGAATGCATGACACCGATCAAACCGAACTGTACTGGAAATCCTTGCAGTGAACATCGTCAACATGTTGTTGTGGCTTCACTATAATCAGTTCAACCGACAAGAACTGATTCAGGGCCGACAAGAACTGATTCAGGACCTTCAAGAATGCACGAGATGTCATCAGACGACTGACATTTTCCGTGCGCCCGGTAGGTTTTGCGTGCCTTGTGGTTATGTACGCTATTAATGTGACGTACCGTTAAACTTGAGCGATTTTATATGCATGTGATCATTGCCCATTACTTTAAAGGCTTGTTTTAGCTGCCTCATCCCAATTCCTGCAACCGCCATGCCAATACCGGTTGCTCTGAGTGACATTGTACATACTGGTTTTGTTACAATTTCGATCAGTTCATTACATTTTGCTTCAGGCATGCATCTTTTGTGGTTTTTAAACTGGATTGAATTATTCTATGTTGGTCCTCGTGAGAAGATCCATAAGTCGCAAAACATTCAAAGTTAAGTATCAGCTTACCAGATTTTTAAATGTAGTATGTTCCGTTTTTGGGTAAATTTGGCTAAATGTGTCCTGCAATCGCCAGCGTCTGAAGGGATGGTGTAAATCTAACTAGGGTCCATACAGGTAGCAAAGTCGCTGAAAGTCCCCATGGTCCCTAATATGGTCACCTACCTTCAGTTGTTGGCGATACTCAGCCCATTTTTATATTGTATTGTCCTGATTTGAAATCTTTTTAAGAGATAGCTGCTAGTTTTTATTCTTGATACTGTGATATTCTAGTTGGTTTTATTGTCTTTCGTTGACAGATATATTAAAATGATCACCTTGTTTTCATCGCTATATGGCTGTAATATTGCCGATGCGATGTAAAATTTTATCTCACTCACTCACTAACCTATGTTGAAGTTTCTTTTGGCCGTCAGCTTTCAAGCTGCACTCAAGTTAACTTGTGCAGTTTGGCGAGATAATAGGAGAGTTTAGGGATTGTGTTGTGATAAGATGGGGGCTCCTACAACACAACATCAACCTCGCCTAGAACCAACACTCTGCAATGTGACTCGCAAGTGCCTGATGGCATTCCCCTCACGTACAACCAACACTTCATGATGTTTCTTGCAGCTGAAGATAAGATACGATAAGTAACATTTTAAGGATCATTAACCTCACCTTGTCGTAAGTGCCGGCGGCGCTTGTGAAGACATCGGCAACCTGACCTGGCGTCATGCCATCTCTCTTGTCGAAGTTCTCAAATGTGCCATTTCTTGTACTTGCCATTTTGAAACTAAAGGTGGAGAAAGTTATAATATTGGAAAGTTATTTGACATGCATACCTAGCAAGCACCTTAAGAATAAGAACGGGGTACAGGCACCTCAAGCATGTATATATAAGTATGACCTTTACAAGTAATGGCCAATTAATCTTGGTTCCTGGATACCAATGTCATTTTAGGGATTTGACGTCGGTGGATAATAATACTTTTATTATCTGATTATTATCTGAATCTATATACCAAAAGGCAATCTTAAGTAGCTGGACTCACGACAGACACGGTGATACCACAGACAACGACATACCAGCTATCATATGAAAATTGATGAACCATCACTGGCAATCTGTAGGCGGAAAGACGGGAGTTAAATAATTCAGCACCATATAATGAATGAATAACCTCAGCCTGGCTGAACAGGGAGAAAGTGTTGGAAGCTGAGGTGATCCTCACACAACTGGTCGTCTTGACGTAAAGTGGAATTCACTACAATTTCAATGAAAATCACTTTCTTTGCAAATAAAAGTACAAAACTGCAAACCATAGGACATACTAGCAGACATTATATATGATAGTTATATACCTTTAATTATGAGAAAATGTATGTGAAATTTAACATAAAACGAGAGGAACATTATTACACACTCATTAGAAATCTCTGCTAAAGCAGACAATTCCAAAAATATCCTGATCCTGTTTAGGCAAAACATTATTACGCAGCTACACTTCAAATTGTTGAAGAGGTAACAACAGAGCAAGAGTTTCTTTTCCATGTTGGAATATTTTACATGATGCTTATAAAGCTGCCTCCAGCTCCAGCTCAAGCTCCAGTGCCACTAAAGTTTTGCTCCAATGTCATTTTAAAATGTTATTTGTCTGGACGCAATTGCGTAGATCGATGGTCATGTAGTTGATCACTGGATTTTCGGGTCCAGTGAGTGAGTGAGTTAAATGTTTTCAGTCACAAGGACAATATTTCAGCTATAACGTGACGAGAAATTGAATATAAATACTGGATATGGTATGAATCAGTAGCCTGTCATCGATGGGCAGTATGTCTGGTCCAAGACCGCTGTCATATTGTTGTGTGTGACGTTAAACAACAGACGAATATTTCAATGTTTTCGACATTTGATGCTCGGACAATAAAACAGTTGATGGGAATTTCTTTAAATTTCTCAAAGCAGTTTCACGATATATTTTTTCTGGACACATTTCACCTGTCTCTCATTAGTAAGACGGGTTTCCATAGTTCTACCTTGTGCAGATGTACCTGACATTGGCGAATGACATGACATAAACACTGTAAATATACAGTCAACTTGGTGGTTCTATCGAAGAAGGCACGTATCCTCTTCAGGTGATCGAGATACCCCATGGAATCGGTGATAGACTTCGACATACTCGAGATTGTCTGGAGCTTCACGGATGAGATGCAGGTAGTTGCCTGGAGTGTAACTGATCCCATATGGAATAATTTTGAATTGTTAAAGTCCATCTGTAGTGATAAAAGCTGAGACCCGCTTCAGACGATCAGCGAAATCTGCTAATAATCCTTCGTCATGCATAAAGAATAAATATATTTATACTTCATAAAAAGCTGTCATCGACAGTATCACATATTTGTAAAGCAAGTTTGAGAGCATGTAACAAAGGTAGAGTGCCACATCGTAATGTACTAAGTATACTGCGATGAGGTCTAGGCAAACTTTCAGTAACATATGACTAAGGTGTTAATCAGTCTACAAGTACGGTCGATCCAACGTTCTTTTTTTCCAATTCTGACAATCTAAAGATCGTATCCACTGTGAATCATAATAAAATTCAATTTTAGACATATACTCAGCAGCAAAAAAAAGGTCAGTACGAATTTAAAATTAGATAGGCACTGTAATCAAATCATTACAGAAATTGACGTAATAAGCGGATCAAAAACATTTTTGTGTACAATATCTTGACACATCAATTAATAACTCGGCACAATTTCAAGACATTACGTGAACGTTTGCAGTCCATTCAGACTCTTGACTTTAGTATCTAGTGTGACCACCACGAGCGGCAATAACTGCAGCACAGCGTCTATGCATGGAGTGCACCAATCGATTGATGAAGGCCATTGGCACCTGGAACCACACTCTGAGAAAGGCCTGGCGCAATAAATCGGCTGTGTTCGGCCTTCGTTTGACATTATTCAGTCTCCTCTGAATTTCATCCCAAAGATGTTCAATTGGGTATAAATCAGGACTAAGGGCTGGCCACTGCATAATGCTGACACCGTTCTGCTGTAGGAAGTCCCGTGTAGCTCTGGAAGTATGGGCCAGGGCGTTATCATGCTGGAAAATGTTGTTCCGGTGACGTGCAAAATGTGGTATGACGTGGGGTCTGAGAGCTTGGTCGATGTTGCGCACCGCTGTGATGTCGCCTCCTCTCCCTGGACCAAGGTGCTGGAACACCACAGGACCCACTCTCTGGTTCAAGGCTATTCCTACCCATGCCATGATGCTTGCACCTCCCCATCATTCTCTTTCCATAACACATTGGTCTGAGTAACGCTTGTCACGTCGTCGCCATGTTCATGTTCTGCTATCTGCATTTGATACGCAGTACCGACTCTCATCTGTGAACAGAACAGTTCCCAATTGCCTGTATTGGCAGTTTTGATGTTGTAGGGCAAACTGTAGACATTCACGCCGATGACGAGGGGTGAGGATAGGTCCACGGTAAGGTCTACGGCAATGGAGGTTCCCGCTGTTAAGACGTCGGCGTACTGTATCAGTACTGATTGGTCTTCAGTGTTTTCCCACTGTCTGGCGTGATGTTTCGGATGCCTGCATAAAGGGATTCTGTACATGCTGTCGCACAACATGCCGGTCTTGTCGTCTTGTGGTCACCCTTGGTCTGCCAGTACGCGGGTGATCATTTGTGGTGTTGGTGGCCCGGAAACGTTGCTGCAGTCTGTAGATGGTCCGAACGTTGACCTGGAAGTGATTGGCAA